ACTTTGGGAGGCTTAGGCGGGTGGATCACGAGGTCAGGAGTTTGAGACCAGACTGGCCAACACGGTGAAACCCCATCTCTACTAAAAATACAAAAATTAGCTGGGTATGGTGGTGCATACCTGTAATCTCGGCTACTCAGGAGATGAGGGCTTCCTATGTTGCCCAAGCTGGCCTCAAACTCCTTGGCTCAAACAATCCTCCTACCTCCCAAAGTGTTGGGATTACAGGTGTGAGCCACCACACCTGACCTGTTTTCTAATTTTTCTACCGGGACTATATATTTTGCTAAAAGAGAGAAGGACGAGAGGAGAGGAGAGAAAAAAATTTAAAACGAGCAGGATGCAGAGAGAACTGGCCTCCCCTGGGGGTGTCTGCCTCCCAGAGGCTGAAAACCAAAGAGAGGAAGTGGTCCAGGAAGAAAGGAGAGATTGGGAGTTAGGAGATGGAGAAGGGGAAGACTGAGTTGAAAAGGCTAAGCTCTCCGGTACTGAGAAAACAAGTTTTGAAAAGTAAAGATACTTTTTCAAAGAAGTGTTGAGAGGTGAAAGGAATTGCCAAAGGCAGCCTGGGAATAATGGAAGTTGCCTGTGAACGCAGCACCTGGGGGCAAAAAAATTCTCCTGACAGTTAAACTTTTTTTTACAACCCTTAGAGATTTTCTCGTCTTCCTCCTCCTCCTCCTCCTCCTCTTCTTCTTCCTCTTCTTCTTCTTCTTTCTATTTACAGAGCATCTCTTCTTGCATCTAACAGAGCTCATAATTTATCTTGCCACTCCGATCTCTTTCTAGTAATGCCTGCTACTTTTAATATAGGTTGTTGTTTTTGTTTTTTTGTTTTCCTGCAATGGATCTATTTTGATATATGATGAGCAAGGGTTAGACTATCTCTAGTTTTACTGAGATGGGAATCCTATTCTATTTTAAAACCCATCTCAGTAAATGTCCCCTTAATCTGTGTCCCCAAGACTCAGCGCCTGAGTCATGTTGGAGTCACTTTATATGTAGCTCATTTTGAAAATCAAAGCCTTGTGCAGAGTAGATGTTAAGCACGTGTATACTGTAAAGTAAAAGGGAGAGCTGTAAAAGAAAGAGAGCAAGTGAAAGCAGATCTTCTTGCCCCTCATTCCCTTCTCTGAGCTACTTTCCATCACTTCATCACTCGACAGACATTCCAGCCTGGTTTTTTTTGTTTTGTTTTGTTTTGTTTTGTTTTGTTTTGTTTTGTTTTGTTTTTGGTGCCACTTTCAGGAAGAACTTCCTGGACCACTCAGAGGGAAGAGGGGTGTCCACCACCCAGCCGTTTCCCCCAGAAGCCTCCCACCCAGGGCTTGCAGTGCCTTTAGGGGCAGTGAAAGTGTGCGCCCTCCGGGGAACTATCGTCTCTCCATCCTCCTTCTCTATCCCCTTCCTCATCTTCACTGCAGACCCAGCACACCCTGGACTGCACTGCCACAGATCTCTTAGGATTTCAAGCCCTGCAGCCACACGGCCAAAGCCAAAGGAAGGGCCCTTTGGCTTTCCCCCCATAGAATGGGCACGTGTGTGCTTCAGTGGAGGCAGAATCCTTGCAGCCACTTCAGGAGCAGGCGACAGGGCCCAGCAAGAATGGCAAGTCAGCAAAGAGTTGGCTCCTCACCAGTTCCTGTTTATTCCGCATTGATTGAGTGCCTACTATGTACTCCCTGCTTTGAAAGGCTCTCAGCCTAATTACAAGTTTACGCAAACTTCCCTCAGCAGTTTCTAAAAATGCCACACTGTTCCCTAGGTTGATAATATGTACTTACAACCTTGTCAGGATTAAGGTCATTTTTGCTTGTTTTTTCAGACACGCCTCCTGTTTTCAAAGGTCATGGATTTGGGGATTGGGGAAGGAATAAATAACAAGCTTTAGCAGTTATAGAAAAACATCTTTAGCTTATTCTTCCCATTAAAGCTTCTCAAGAGTAGGTTACCCTCCATTGGTTTTTTCTTATGGATTTTTACAGGAAAAAAATTGTATTTAAAGGTAACATATATGCCTTGACAATCTCCATTGTTGACATGTTGAAAGATCTTGGAGAGGTCAGGGGCGGTGGCTCACGCCTGTAATCCCAGCACTTTGGGAGGCCGAGGCAGGTGGATCTTGAGGTCAGGAGTTCAAGACCAGCCTGGCCAATATGGCGAAACCACATCTCTACTAAAAATACAAAAATTAGCTGGCTATGGTGGCAGGAGCCTGTAATCCCAGCTACTCAGGAGGCTGAGGCGGAAGAATCGCTTGAACCTGGGAGGCAGAAGTTGCAGTGAGCCAAGCTCACGCCACTGTACTCCAGCCTGGGCAACAGAGTGAGACTCCATCTCCCCCTCCGCGACACACACACAAAAAAGAAGAAAGATTTGGGAAAGTTTGTCTGTTTTCCAGAAGTAACTCAATCGGACCCTTGTTTATATGAAATGTTTTTCCTCCTTTTATTTACAGCTACACTATGTTAGGGGGATACATGGAACAACAGGCAGGCCCTTACTGTTACTAGACACGCCTAAGAAATAGGTTCTCATGGCCTAACTAACAATTCTTTCTGTCCCTTTTCCCCAATGCCACCTTCAAACCCCAGAACCAAATTTCAAAGGGAAGTAGATAAAGGATGTATTCCCTCACCCATTTTTTTTTTTTTTTTTTTAAACATCAAGGCTCAAAGACTTGAAGTGAATTAATGTATGGCTCAGCCTAGCTGAACAGATAAAAATCACTAGTCAGCCCAAAATCCATTTGCAAGATCTGACTACTGTGGGACACTTAAATTTACCCTCCAAAGATTTGGAACAAGAAATGGCAACTCATTTGGAAAATTAATCTTCACAGGCCTTCTTAACAGCAATCAGCAGGCATTGAATAAAGAAATTTGGGTAAAGCCTGAGTTGCGGTGGTTGGGGGCGGGAGTGGATATGGGGGCTTAACTGCCTTTGGACTAGTCAGCACAGCTGGGAAGAGCCTCAGGCTGGACTCCATTCACGCTTTACATCCAGTTTTGAAAAAGGAAGAAGCTGTCAGAGTCTTAATGAGGGAGCTCCTAAGGGCGTCCCAGCTTTGATGCTGCTCTAATAACATGGCTTTTCAGGGAGGATTAATAAGCAGACTTATGAAAGGATCTGGCTCTCCTCTCCGATCCACTAAACAGATAATAAGGATTTCTAGCTATTAGAGCAATGATACCAGATCACAACTTCCAAGACATGCACCAGCATGAAGCCGCTCTGGAAACTGCCTACTGAATGGGCAACCTTCAAAAGCCCTCTAATCCTTGCAAATGAACTTGAGGTTTTCTGCCCACCCACATGACATAGACTCATTTGTCTGGAATTTAATGTTCAGGACATTCAGCAGAAATTTTGACATGAAGAAATAATAGGCTCTCAGATTTTTTTTTTTCAATTCTTATTTAGAAAAAAAAAATCCTCTAATTCCAGGTGTAACCCATTAAATTAAGCTACAAGGCCAGCCAAATGAGGTGGTGAACACCTGTAGTCCCAGCTACTTGAGAGGATGAGGCAGGAAGCTTGCTTGAACCCAGAAGTTGGAGCCCGCAGTGAGCTATGATCATGCCTATAAATAGCTCTGCACTCCAGCCTGGGCAACAGTGAGAACTTGTCCCTAAAGCAAACAAAAAATGACAAAGGCAGCCTAATTCAATTTCCACTTTCCCCACCTAACAGGCTTAGGATCACAAACTGTAAAGGTTCTCTTTGTTTTATAGAGACGAGAAGCTACTTCTCCTAGGCACTTAGTAAATTAGGGACGATGCCAGCACTAGAATGTACTCAGGTGCTCCAAGACCTGGATGGACTTGTTCCTTGCACAATCTAGAAATCCGTGATAAAGAATAAATCATACAGGGTGTCCTTAATGAGCCCCTTCCATAGGCAGGTTGAAGGGGGAGACCCCTGTAGATTCATCTCAAGTTATGCAAACTATGAAGCCACGTGCTACTGGTTGGGGGAAAACTTGCTCTTTGAGTCAGGTGCACCGGGGTTCGAGCCCTGACCCTGCATCTCTCACTATGTAGATGATTTGGGGTGGGGCAGGTTATCAGAGCTCTTGAGTCTCAGTCTCTTTAGCTGAAAAAAGCAGAGAAAACAATGCCTACCTAACCAAATGAAAATAAATTTAAAGAAGACAACATTTGTAAAGATGCTCAATTAAAGTCAATCCCTCTCCTAATTGCGGCTGCTTGAATTTCTTTCTCTTTCTTTCTTTTTTTGAGATGAAGTCTCAGTAACCCAGGATGGAGTGCAGTGGCTTGATTTGGCTCACTGCAACCTCCACCTCCCAGGTTCCAGCGATTCTCCAGCCTCTTAAGTAGCTGGGACTATAGGCATGCACCTCCACACTTGGCTAAGTTTTGTATTTTTAGTAGAGATGGGGTTTCACCATGTTGACCAGGCTGGTCTCGAACTCCTGACCTCAGGTGATCTACCTGCCTCAACCTCCCAAAGTGCTGGGATTACAAGCATGAGCCACTGCACTTGGCCTGAATTTCTTTACCTTAGAACAAAGGGTGCTATTATAGGGAAGGCTTAAATGACATGATCAACACATTTGCTAAGGTATATCAGTGATTGGACAAATATAAAATACCCAGGAGATCCTGCTCTGACCAATAAAAGATTCTGAGGGCTTTAGACGCCCAGCGAGAAGGACCTCTCTAGTCTGATTAGAGGTTAAAGGGAGCAAGAAAGGATGGGAGAGGGGAGGCCAGCACAATATAAACCAGAGATGTTCAGTAGAAACATAACATAAGCCACATGTGTAATTTAAAATGTTTTAGTAGCCGCACTTAAGAAGTAAAAACAAGCATGTAACAGTAATCTTAATAGTACATTTTATTTAACCCAATATATCAAAATGCTATTATATGAACTTGTTCTCATTTAAAAATTATTAGTGTTTTTTGTTCTTTTTTCCTACTGAGTCTTCAGAATCAGGGTATATTTTACACTTGGAGTACACTTCAAGTTCTCACCATCTTGGACAGCACAGGTGTAGAAGTGTAGGCAAATCTCCACGTCCATCCACTGTGCTGGGTGTTGGGGGACCAAAAAGTCTAGATTAGAGCATGGATTTACCCTCAAGGGACTCAGTATCTAGTTAGGGATCTAGAACAGATGGAGAACATTCACCCAACAATATACATTTGGCTGCAGGTTCCCACACTGCTTATTATAAGATACTCAACCTGCAGCTCAAGGCTTTTCTTATAAGCCTTAGACATACCCCAAGCACAATATTCTTTCCCATTGTCCACACAAGCAGTTGTCAGATGATGTCATTGATTTGGGGGTTTGGGACTATAGCACCCTAGGAAACAGCTCAAGGGAAGAGGGGGATGCCTTGCTTTCTAGTCCCTTTAGGCTACAGAATGCCCACTTTATATTGTGTGAGCCCAAATTCCAGACAAGTAGGAAAGAAACTGAAAGAGAAGTCTCAACCCTGCACAGAATGTTTACCTGTCTCCTGGAGCAGCAGCGGCAGCGGGAGGAGCCATCCGTGTTGAAGAGGCAGAGTCTCTCACTGCCAGCTGCACCCACCCTGCCCCTGTCTCTTTCCCCTGCCCCTCCCTTGAGAGCCTCTTCATTTCCTCCACTGCCTGGCTCAGCTCACAGGGAGACTCAAACAACCCCAAAATGAAAAGCCAGTGGCTGACGTGGCTTGCAGAGCAACCTTCATGCTGTGCAGGCATGAGCCTCAGCAAAACCAGATATTGAAGTTTGCTTTAGATTCCCTAGCATTTTCTGGAAAGCCCTTTCCCCCTTTCTGCAACTCCACCCCTGTAGACTAATCTCAGATAATGCAAAAATGAAGCCGTGTGCTGCTGGCGGGGGAAACAACCAGTTTAAGGAAAAACCAGGTTCTTCCTCAGCTATTTCTGCTGAGACACAAATTCGTACTAAGGAGTTAATACTTTGTAGGCCATCTTTCCCAGGGATATTTGCATTTTTTAAAGACTGAATAATAATTTTAAAAAAGAAGAACTCAAATGTATTGAGTGCTTACTAACTATTGGGCACTGTGCTAAGAGAATGATGCCTCACTCCAGGGAATGATAATGGTAGGATTTCTTTTTTTTTTTTTTTTTTTTTTGAGACGGAGTCTCGCTCTGTCGCCCAGGCTGGAGTGCAGTGGCCGGATCTCAGCTCACTGCAAGCTCCGCCTCCCGGGTTCACGCCATTCTCCTGCCTCAGCCTCCTGAGTAGCTGGGACTACAGGCGCCCGCCACCTCGCCCGGCTAGTTTTTTGTATTTTTTTAGTAGAGACGGGGTTTCACCGTGTTAGCCAGGATGGTCTCGATCTCCCGACCTCGTGATCCGCCCGTCTCGGCCTCCCAAAGTGCTGGGATTACAGGCTTGAGCCACCGCGCCCGGCCAATGGTAGGATTTCAAGCAAGGTGGCACAGGTGGAACAGAGGTACCTTCCTGGTGCTTTTAGTAGACAACTCCTATGCGACCCTAACATGAGGAACAGTCCGCGGAGGATGTAAGACAGCTGCACTTTTTTTCCCCCTTAACTTTTAAATTTTAGCGCCATTTTCTTTGTTTATGGATTAAGGGTAGAGGAATTAAATTTGTTTTCATCCACCCATTCATTCGCTCATTCATTCAACAAACATTTACTGAGTGCCTACTCTGAGCCAGGTATTGGACCAAGTGCTGGGGATACAGCAATGATCAAGATGGGCGAAGCTCTGCTCTCATAAAACTTACAATACGGTGGGGAAAGACAGGCAATAAGCAAAGAAACAAAACAAGAGAATTACAGACTGTGATCATCCCATAAACAAAATGAACAAGGGGGTGCGATAGAGGCAACTAGGGAGTAGGATGGAGGCTCCTTAGATCCAGGCTGGGTGAGGAAGCCTCCCCGGAGGAGGTAATGGGGTTTTTCTGCATCCCCACTGGTGCTCCTTCTTGGCCTCCTTGGCTTCCTCTTCCTCCTTCACCTACCTGCAGGCTTCAGAGCACAGTCCTGGGGCTTCTCCTTCATCCACAAACCCTCTCTAGGTGCTCTTGGCCAGTTTCATGACTCTAACCACTTTCTATACACTGATATCTCCCAAATTAATATCTCCAGCCTTAACAAGCCTATGACCACCAGACCCACACATTCAAGAGTCAAGCTGATATCACCTCTGAAAAGTCTACTGGCATCTCAAACTTAATATGCCCAAACAAGTCTCTCGACTCTCTGCTTCCTCCAGCCTGTTTCTGCTGCCTCAGTCCCTGTACTCTGTAAATTATCCACCTGATGGCTCAAACCAAAAAGCTGAGGAGTCACTATTTTTTCATTGTGTTTTAAACTGTTTTTGAATAAGTAGTTGTGGTAGGCAGTATAACGGCCTCCAAACATGCTCGTATCTAATCGCTAGAATCTGTTAATATGTGACTTTACATGGCAAAAGGGACTCTGTGAATGTAATTAAGAAACTTGAGGCGAGTTATCTTGGATTATCTGGATGGGTTGAATTTAGTCACAGGAGTCTTTAAAAGTGGATAACCTTTCCCCTCTGTGGTCAGAGGAAGACATGAATTTGGGAGAAGAGTCAGAGACACTCTGCTGACTGTGAAGACAGAGGAAGGGGCCATGAGCCAAGGCCTGCAGGGAGACTCTAGAAGCTAGAAAAGACCAAGAAACAGTCTCCCCTCCAGCCTCCAGAAAGGAATGCAGCTCACCAATCCCTTTATTTTAGCCCAGTGAGACCTGTGTCAAACTTCTACCCTACAGAACTATAAGATAATAAATTTGCACTGTTTTAAGCCACTACATTTGTGATCATTTGTTACAGCAGTAATAGAAAACTAATAAAGCAACATAGTCACATGACTCAAAATTCAGAGAGTACAAAATAGCACACAACAAGCTTCCGTCTCACCCTGTCCTTACCCACCAACTTTTCCCCAGAAGTACCTAATGCTACCGACTTCTTGGTATATCTTTCCAGAGACATCCTATTCATATATAAGCAAATGGGGCTATGTATAGTTTCACCTTGTATTTTAATACAAATGATAGCATACTATACATACTGTTACATTTTTCAAGTCCACAATATGGTCTACATGTTTTTCTTTGAGGCTTTTTTATTGTTTTAACCTGGCACCACCACATTCCATTGCATAGACGTAATTATTTAGCCATCTCTTATTGTTGGCTATTTCCAAACTTTTTATCACAAACAATGCCCTATGCAGAAATAACCTTGAACTTGCAGCATTTCATGCAGGACTCAGACAGAGACTGATTTGTCTCAGACTAAGACAAATCCAGGAGTCATCCCTGATTCTTCCTTTCCTTCATTCCTATCTAATCTGCTAGCCTGTCCTGTGGGTTCTATCTCCAAAACAAACTTCAGCCCACCACTTCTTTCCTTGTCCACCATCCCCACTCTATTCTAAGCCACCACTGTCTCTTGCCTGAGCCATTGCAGTGGACACATCTATGGTCAGGAAGACTCTTGAGATTCCTATACTTGTGTCTTGCCCTTTTGAGGAAGAGCCGTCTTGAGGCCTCAGACTTTTTGTTCCTGAAATAGGATCAATGAAAGTAAGCATCCAGATTTTTCTGTGAATGAATGAGTGGTGTTTCCCAAGACTTCAGCAATGGGGTTTCATTTGGAGGCTCTCCTAAAAAAGAAGCTTGTTAAACCTGAAAGGAAGATCAGATGAGTGTCTCTGTGTCTTGGAATATACGTAAATTTAATTGCATCTTTAGTATGTGTTTTCCTTCTGTGGGTTTCCAGGGCACTTAATGGGCTGGGAACAAGACAAGAATCTTTAGGAATGGAGACAAATTCACCTTAAACAAGAACCTGAGATTAAAGTTCTGCCTTTATTCTACTTAGCCACAGCCTAAATCCTTCCCTGAGGCCTCTTGAGGAAGTTCCAGGATGGAAACTGATTCAGAAAGTCCAGTGGTCCTGGTACAGGAAATAAAACATTAAAGAAATGAGCACTGCAGAGGGAGGCCCCCGTGACTATAAATGTAAAAAAGAAAACTCAAGGAGACTAACGGAAGAAAGGAATCAGATTTATGATGTATTTGCCATGGTATACTCTCTCTTCTTATAATAAAATGTTAATTAATTATTAAGTTTTTACTGTGTGTCATGCATTTTCACATATGCTTTTATTTAATTTCCTAATAACTCCATTTTACAGATAAGGAAACTAAGAGTCAAAGAAAATATTTATTTTGTAGCCTTTCAGTAGTTGAGCCCCTGATCACGGAGTAAGAAGTAAGGACAGGTGGCAACTTCAGCAACTGTCCTGAACAATTAAAATGCACATCAGTGTGAATGACCTTCAGAATGTATTTCAATCTGTTAATATACACAGTAACATATATGTAAACTATACATGGCAGCTGAGAGTTGTGTTTAAGATCACAGATTCTTCTGAGACAGAGTCTCGCTCTGTCGCCCAGGCTGGAATGCAGTCGTGCAATCTCAGCTCACTGCAACCTCCGCCTCCGAGGTTCAAGCCACTCTCATGCCTCGGCTTCCTGAGTAGCTGGGGCTACAGTTGCATGCCACCATGCCTGGTTACTTTCTGTATGTTTAGTAGACAGAGTTTCACCATGTTGGCCAGCCTGGTTTTGAATTCCTGTACTCAAGCAAACTACCCACCTCAGCCTCCCAAAGTGCTGGGATTGCAGGCGTGAGCCACCGCGCCCAGCCAAGATTACAGATTTTATAGAGAGACTTCCTGAGCTTCAGCATGCATAGTTCCATGATTACCTGCTGTGTGGCCTTGGGCAAATTCCTTTCCCTCTCTGGGCCTATTTCCTATTACATTTAAAACACTTAGATCTGTGCATGGCATAAACTGGAATTTAGCCAGGCTACCCGTAATGAGGGCTTACTTGGTGTCAAGCACTGGGCTATGTAATACATAGAAAGCACTCATCCTGAAGATGGTCTCAGGGAATCTTCAGATCATTCTGCAAGGAAATCATTCTTTCTTTTCTGTAGTGAAGGAATCTGAAGCTCTAGAACATCCCCAGTGTCACGCAATCATCTGTTAAGTGGCAGAGTTGGGAATTCAGACCTTGCTTTGTCTGCTTCCAAAGCCTGGGCTCAGTAACAAGCAAAGCAGATGGTGGTGTTAGTGTGCAGTCCTGCTTTTTGGCAAGCCTGAGGCATGAGCTGCTCTTCCTGCTTACAGGTGCAGACACACATACTCCCCGCCACAAAGACACACAGGCAGCATTCAAGTGAGAAATGTCCCCAATGCCTGCGCCCTCTGCTGTCTGTGCTGTAGCAATTTCTGGTCTGAAAGGCACTTTCCTGGAGTAGAATTGCTGTTGGTTTTGGAAATGACTCCAACAAATT